TGTTGGGAACAGTAAGGACAATTTTTTTTTTATTAAAAAAGTTTTTTTTTAACGCTTATTCATTTTTGAGACACAGAGAGAGACAGCATGAATGGAGGAAGGTCAGAGAGAGAGAGGGAGACACAGAATCTGAAACAGGCTCCAGGCTCTGAGCTGTCAGCATAGAGCCCGACGCGGGGCTCGAACTCACAGACGTGAGATCATGACCTGAGCCGAAGTCGGACGCCCAACTGACTGAGCCACCCAGGCGCCCCAGTAAGGACGTTCTTAATTCTTGGACAGATAAGTGAGGATATAGTCTAATATTATTTAGAACATTTCCAGGAATCTATCAAACTCCCTTTTTGTCTTCCTCTTTTTTTGAAAAAAATTATAGTTGATACATAACACGTGAATTTCAGGTGTACAAGATAGTGATTGAACATGTTATGTAGGCTATGCTCATCACAAGTGTAGCTTCTTTTTCAACTGAAGTGCAGTTGACGCACTATGTTAGGGGTTTCAGGTGTACAATGTGGTGCTGTGACAGTCTAAACCACAACGTAGCTATCATCTGCTGCCATCTGCCTTTTTTATTTTCTAATTTTTAATTTTTTTATTGTTTATTTATTTTTGAGAGAGAGTGCAAGCAGGGGAAGGACAGAGAGGGAGGGAGACACAGAATCTGAAGCGGGCTCCAGGCTCTGAGCTGTCAGCACAGAGCCCGATGCGGGCTGTGAGATGACCTGTGAGATCATGACCTGAGCCCAAGTGGGACCCGTAACCAACTGAGCCACCCGGATGCTCCTATCTACCTTTTTTGAAAACAAAACAAAACAAAAAAGCAGCAAACTAGGATGTCTGCACTAGAGTACCTAAAATATTTACGTATGATTTAAAGGACCGTTGGGGCGCCTGGGTGGTGCAGTCGGTTAAGCGGCCGACTTCAGCCAGGTCACGATCTCGCGGTCCGTGAGTTCGAGCCCCGCGTCAGGCTCTGGGCTGATGGCTCAGAGCCTGGAGCCTGTTTCCGATTCTGTGTCTCCCTCTCTCTCTGCCCCTCCCCCGTTCATGCTCTGTCTCTCTCTGTCCCAAAAATAAATAAATGTTGAAAAAAAATTAAAAAAAAAATAAAGGATCGTAATAAACCAATGAACCCATCAGTAAAGTTATGAAATGGAACATTACTAATTCTTTAGAAGGTCCCTCTGTGCCCACCCTCCCCAATTCTGATTATATCCTCATCCTTCCAATCCACAGTTAAACATCCTGAATTTGGGGTTGATTGTTCCTTTGCTTCTCCTTAGGGTTTTATCAACTAAGTGTACATCCTTAAACATATTTAACCGCCTGTTCTTCAAGTTCAAATACATGTAAACATACTGCGTGGTTGTTGTGTGATTGTTTTGTTTCATATGGTTTTTGAGACCGATCCATAATTACACGTTGAGCTGTAGTTCACTTGTCTTCACTGCTGTGTTCATATGTTATTTTATGAATATATAAGATTTATCCATTTTTTTCTTGATTCAACACCTGGCTTGTTTTTAAAGTGTTGCAAGTAATGCCACCGGGAACATTCTTGTATGTATTTCCCAGGGCTCGCGTTTGTTACTCTAAAATATATAACAAACCATAAAATTGCAGGGTCATAGGTTTGTACCTATTCACCTTTGCTAGGTTATGCCAAACGTTTTTCAAAGTCGTACCAATTGATTTTCCCACGAACATAGATGAGTTTCCACTGGTCTGCTTCCTCACTTGGTATTGCCCAAATTTTAATTTTCATCAGTCTAATTACTGAAGATATTTAGCATAATTTCATATTTTCTCTATAGCTGCCATGTTCTTTTCCTTCAAGAGAATGTGTCTTGACAATTCTTTCATAGAGAATATATGAAATGTTCTTCCCTATCCTTCATAATATTCCTTATTTTTTTTCATAATATTCCTTATTTTTAAGTCATTATCTAATATAGACAGTCCAGCTTTACTATAATCAGTTGTTACATGTCTTTTTTGAAATCATTTTTTTTTTTAATTTGAGAGAGAGACACCACACCAGTGGAGGAGAGGGGCAGAGGAAAGAGAAAGAAAATCTTTTTTTTTCTTTTAATTTTTAAAATGTTTATTCATTTTTGAGAGATAGAGAGACAGAGCATGAGTGGGG